CATACAAATATTAACCAAAAAATTCCTACTGGAAGCTAAGTTGAACGCTGCCTATTTTTTTCAGTCCAAAAGAGTATTTCCTTTTTTTCCCCTTTGCTTTTTTGTTTCATTTTGTTTACGTTTTGCTTTTTGTTCTTCCAGGGGACAGCATTTCTTGATAAGGTACACTTTCCTGTTTGGCACTCCACAGCGTATTGTGTGAAATTTTAGTCATCAGAAAGGTAAGGTATGGGGCTGAGGATGTGGCTCAAGTGGTGGAGCACTTGCCTAGCACGTGTGAGGCATTGGGTTCAATTCTCAGCACCGCATAAAAATAAAATAAAGATATTGTGTCCACCTGAAACTAAAAAATAAATATTAAAAAGATAAAGGTAATGTATGATACACAAATCAAGGTAACAGACCAATAGAGAACTCAGAAATAGACCATGCAACTATGCCTAAGTAATTTTTTATAAAGGTACAAAAGCAATTCAATGAGGGAAGAAGTGTCTTTTCAACATTGTGCTGAGACAATTAGACATCTATAGGCAAAGGAGAAAAATTATTTTCAACCTAAACTTCATATCTTATTCAGAAAAGCTGAAAAGAGATTGCAGATTTACATGTATAAAGGAAACTTATAAAACTTAGAATAAAGCGTAGAAAATCTTCAGGACATGGGTCATATGAAATCCTCTTGGACTTGACATCAAAAGTGTAAAAAATAAAAGAAAAACTTTGTAAGTGGACCATGTCAAAATTTAAAACTTCAGCCAGGTGTGCCGGCACATACTTGGTAATTCCAGCAATGTGGGAGGCTGAGGCAAGAGGATCACAATTTTGAGGCCAGCCTGGTCAACTTAGTGAGACCCTGTCTCAAAATAAAAAGTACTGGGGATATAGCTCAGTGGTAGGGCACCCCTGGGTTCAATCCTCAATACTGGAAAAAAAAAAATTAAAACTTTTACTTTGTGAAGACCCTGTTAAGAGAATGAAAACATAACCTGCAGAATGAGGAGAAGTATTTAAAACCACTGTTGCAACAAAAGACTCATATCTAGGGGCTGGGGGTGTAGCTCAAGTGGTAGCGCTCGCCTGGCATGCATGAGGCACTGAGTTCAATTCTCAGCACCACATAAAAATAAAAATAAAGATATTGTGTCCACCTAAAACTAAAAAAAAGATTCATATCTAGAATATATTCAAAAGTCTGCCAACTCAACATCAAAAGAACAAATAACCCATTTAGAAAATGGGTATAAAATATATGGATTGCAGGGCTGGGTTGTGGCTCAGTGGTAGAGCACTTGCCTAGCATGTGTGAGGCACTAGGTTCAATTCTCAGCACCACATATCAATAAATAAAATAAATGTCCATTGACAACTAAAAAAATATTTAAAAATAAAAGATATATGGATTGCAGATGAGCACATGAAAACATGTTCAATGATATATGTTACATCTGCACATGTAACAGAACGACTAAAATAATAAATAGTGACAACATTAAGTACTGACAAGGATGTAGGGAAACCGATCACTCACACATTGCTGGGGGGGATGTAAAATGACACAGTCACTCTGGAAACAGTTTGGCAACTTCTTACAAAACTAAACATGCAACTGTCATATGATCTAGCCATTGCTCTTTTGGGTGTTTATTCCAGAAAAATGAAAAACAACCTACACACATATAAAAAAAACTATATATAAATATTCATAACAGTTTTATTCATAATAGTCAATAGGTAGAAAAGATCCAAATGTCCTTTAATGGAGTGAACAGTTAAACAAACTGGTATATCCACACTATAGAATTCTACTCAGCAATAAGAGTAGAATTGGAATTCTACTCAGCAATTTTTTTTTCAGAGCTAGGGGTAGAACCCAGAGCCTCATGTGACCTAGGCAAATGGTCTACCACTGAGTTATGCCCCCAACTGAGGAACAAACTGTGGACATAACACCACAACCTGGATGAGTCTCAAGGGAATTATGCTGAGTGAAAAAAGCAAATCTCAAAAGGTTACATATGTATGATTCCATTTATGTCTTAAAAATAACAACATTGTAAAAAGGAAGAGCTTAGTGTTTGCCAGGGTTAAGGAATGTGGGAGAGGGGTGGAGGCAGCTATAGAAGGGAAGCACAAGCCAGTCTCCTGGTAATGTAACTATTCTTTATCTCTATTATCTTGATTGTGGTGGGGGTTGCACAAAATCTGCACAGGTGATAAAATTGTAAAGAATCTCTCTCTCTCTCTCTCTCTCTCTCTCTCTCTCTCTCTCTCTCTCTCTCTCTCTCTCTCGTGTGCGCGCGGTTTCTCACACACACATATACAAGTGCATGTAAGTGAAATCTCTATAAGCTCTGTGAATTGTACCAATGTCAGTTTTCTGGTTTTGATACTGTACTATAGTGATGCAAGATGTTACCACTGGGTAAACCTGGTGAAAGGTACATTGGACCTTCCTGTTCATTTTGTTTTTGCAACTTCAATCTATATTTATTTCAAAATAAATAGTTTTCTTTAAAAAGCTAGTGCTTTGGAAATGAAGGGAGACCCTCGTTGCTATACAAAATTACATATAAGAGGTTGTGAGAGGAATGGGAAAATAAACAAGGAGAGAAATGAATTACAGTAGATGGGGTAGAGAGAGAAGATGGGAGGGAAGGGGAGGGGGGATAGTAGGGGATAGGAAAGGTAGCAGAATACAACAGTTACTAATAGGGCATTATGTAAAATTGTGGATGTGTAACTGATGCGATTCTGCAATCTGTATTTGGGGTAAAATTGGGAGTTCATAACCCACTTCAATCTAATGTATGAAAGATGATATGTCAAGAGCTTTGTAATGTTGTGAACAACCAATTAAAAAATAAATACATAAATAAATAAATACAGACACAAACCTAAAAAAAAAAAGCTAGTGCTTATGATTTCTCGTGTATGTGTGTTAACCAATCAAATTAAATGTGTGCAGTTTAGTGTACTTCAATTATTCTTCAATAAAATTTGGAATAAGGATAAATAAAGGTTAATGCTTCACATCATAACTGCTTATGTAAACATCTTCACTCTATCCTCATATCTATTAAGTTATTGAAAGCAAAAATCAATAGACACTCCAGGTCCAATTACATCTGCTTATATCACCCACCCAAAATGTGCACAGAACAATAAAATAACTTTTTTCTTTATAAAGCAAAAATAAAACTTGAAATAAAATCTTTATATGGGGCTACTAACCACTGCAGAGAGCTGAGAAAGTGTATTTTAATGCATTCTCATGACAACACTATACTCTACCTCCTTTTCTTTTGCTCTCCCCATTTGACATAGACTCCACTACAACTAAGTTATAAGTTTTTTTTAATTTTTTTTAGTTGTAGATGGACACAATATCTTTATTTTACTTTTTTTTATATTTATGTGGTGCCAGAAATTGAACCCAGTGCCTCATGCATGCTGGGCAAGCGCTCTACCACTGAGCTACAACCTGGGCCCCACAAGTAATCAATTCTAAGAATATTCATTTAAAAAGAAGATTTAATAATAAGATCAGCTGTATAACCTTATAAGCAAATGATCTAACTCATTCTGCAAACATTACATGTCCAGATTTTTCAGAAGGTCTTTTCAGAGTCTTAATAGAAATCAAAGCTAAAAGAGGTGTAAGTAAGATAAAACATCAGCAACGAAATGGATCTTAGTAATTCATCTAGCTTCTGTGCTATTAATGGTATTGCTCTACAAAATATGACCTAGAATGTCTAACTATAATTTATAGACCTCATTATATAGCTCTCTTTAGATTGTTTAACCTCCAAATGCATAATTTATATGCTCCTGTCACTGCTGTTGACTTTTTAAAAGTAATCATAATCTTTAAATACAATCAGTAATATTTTCAGAATTAAATTTCAAATTACATAAAAATAAGCAAACAATAGTTTAAAGTCTGTGCTACTTCTAACATGAAACAATTTCTTTTTTTTAAAGAGAGAGTGAGAGAGGGGAGAGAGAGAGAGAATTTTTAATATTTATTTTTTAAGCTTTCAGCGGACACAACATCTTTGTTGGTATGTTGTGCTGAGGATCGAACCCGGGCCACACGCATGCCAGACGAGCGCGCTACTGCTTGAGCCATATCCCCAGCCCATGAAACAATTTCTATAACTGTAACTATTAAGTCCAGACCTAGGAAAACTTAAAGAACAGAGTCCTCCCAAAACATTACTCACTCACAAATCAAAACCTTACTAGATGAAAACCACTTTTCAGTAAATCTGAATATAAAATGAATTTAAATAGAAAACAAAATAAATTGTTTATTATCTTAAATTATCTTGTTTATTATCTTAAATACTCATAGTAATACTTACATATATACCTGTCATTTTAATGAAAATCAAAATTGATCATATTTTTGCTTTATTATAAGAAATAAAGTAAAAACAAAGGGAACAACAACCATTTTTTTTCTAAAAAGTACATCGATATTGCTATTCTCAAATGATAGAGCACACTTAATCTTGATCATATAGTAACTGGTCAGTACTAAACAAATTGCTTTAATTCATTACAAACTTTTATATAAACCTGTTTTTTCCATGCTAGAAATTAGGCTATAACTCCCAAAAGATATTTTTAAAAGTCTAAAGTATAGTAAATTCATAAGTTGCTTTGCTTATAATTAAGTGTAGAACTTTCTAATTCTTAAACATTGGTTTCATTTTGAAAGCCCTTTTTTCATTTTTCCTCTTAGTTTTATTACAAATTATACTTCTTATTATATCCAGGGCTTTTGTTCATTATCTTTAAAAACTTAAGGCATATTTTATTTTTTAAATATTTTTATTAGTTAATGATGGACCTTTATTATTTATTTAATTGCTTATATGTGGTGCTTAGAATCAAACCCAGTGCCTCACACATGCTAGGCAAGCACTCTGCCACTGAGCCATAACCCCAGCCCCTTAAGGCATTTTTTAGAACAATTGTCATGCTACACTTACCTATTATATTCATAGGCAGATTTCAGTGGACCCAGTCTGCTTACAAATAGTTCCACTTATGACTGTTAAGAAGGAAAAAGAACATTCATTACTAACACACAGTAAAATGAGGTAGCACTTGCAAAATACATAATGAAGCAACTGAAAGGTAATTAGCGTACTGCTACCATAATTTCAACTATCATGATGAATTTATAATTTAGTGTAGTTATAAATGTATAAGTTATAACTTGGTAGTTATAAATTTTTAACACTGTATAGCTATAAATTCTTTTTTTTTTAAAGAGAGAGAGAGAATTTTTAATATTTATTTTTTAGTTCTCGGCGGACACAACATCTTTGTTGGTATGTGGTGCTGAGGATCGAACCCCGGCCGCATGCATGCCAGGCGAGCGCGCTACCGCTTGAGCCACATCCCCAGCCCCCATAAATTCTTAATACTTCATTTATGAAATTAAATCTTTAGGTTCTCTGGCTACATAAATTTTTCAGATACCTCCACCATTCTTAACTTTTTAAAAAAATTATAAAATCATTTTAGAATATGATAAAAAGCTATGGCCTTCTCTCCCCAGAAACACACACATATTGCACAAATTCTCTGTTCACTTTTAAGAGGCTTCATTTGGGCCCCTGGGGTGCATGGAACTCACGTTAAGGACTTGAGATAATTAAAGCTATCTATATAAAGTGCTTTCCTTGTATTATTTCAACTATTTTCATAAGATTCCTTCTAAAATATACTTTATTCTTTCCCATCCTCAACAAAGAGTAATGATCACAATTTGACCTTCCTTGATAACTTGGAGTCATTTTGGACACCAATCATTGTACCTGCTTTGACTCTACAACATTCTTGGGATCAAAAAAGATTAGAAGAGCTGTTTGCCCCCAAATTAAATGCCCATAGATGACTTCCCACATTCCTTTATCCCCATCAAAGAGCTTAAACTTCTTTGTAAAGTTCTTATGTCTATTTCATTTTGGTTTATCAGCTATTATTGTCTCCTCCTCCTCATTCTCTCCCCTCTTTCTCTCCCTAATCTGTTTGAGAGCAGGCCTTCCAACTGTGGAATAAATAACCAGATTTGTTACTAACCTGAAAGAGTATCTGAGAGCAAGAGATTTAGTGCATGAACATTATGACATCTATTCTGGCTCTTCATGGGACATTTTAGCTTACTTCTGTAGATTTCAACTATATTCCTGACAGTTTACCAGATCAGAAATTTTAAACCACTAAAACAGCACACTTAGATAAATGCATTATCCTTTCTCAAAATTCCATATGCAACTTAGAAAAATAAACATCTGCTATAAGCTTTACCATATGGTTAGATTTTTTAAAAGAAGGGAATATAGAAAAATATCAAGTTTGGGAACAAATATAAATAGCCTTACTATGACTCTGTAAAATGAAAGAATTATATCCTCATTTAGAGCAGTCTAATCAAAAATTTGCAACTGCAACATAAATCAGTTATAGCATTGTCAGGTGTGGTGGCACACACCTATAATTCCAGTGACTCTGGAGGCTGAAGCAGGAGGATTGCAAGTTCAAAGCCAGCCTCAGCAAGTTAGAGATACCCTAAGAAACTTAGCAAGACCCTGTCTCTAAATAAAAATATAAAATGATTGAGGCTATGGCTCAGTGGATAAGCACCTCTGGGTTCAATCCCTGGTATTCCCTCCCCCCAAAATCCATTATAGTTTTATAAATGTGAACAGGCAAAAGTTTCTAAAAGGAGCCAAGAATAGTGGCTTACACCTGTTATCCCAGCTACTTGGGAAGCTGAGTTAGAAGGGTAGCAAGTTCAAGGAAACCAAAGTCAATATAGCAAGACCCTGGCTCAACACAAAAAAATTAAAAAGGGTGAGAATGTAGCTCAGTGGTAGAGTGCCCCTGGGTTCAATCTCTAGTACCAAAAAAAAAAATGTATAGAGTACCAAAATTGACAAAGTACTACTAGAAACTAACATATCATTTAAATAATATTTTAACATGCACCAAGGCTTACTTAAAAGAAACTTGATGATTTCTCAAATCAAGTGCAGTAAATATTATTATTCAATAAATGGTGTTATGACAATTGGTCAGCACTCTGAAAAAAAACATGTAAGTTTGACCCTTAATTTAGACATTACACAAAGAAATATTAATTTTACTTAAATGATAAAAACTCAAACTAAAAAATACCATGTGAGAACTACTTTGTAATCTTGGCTAGCATGGGAAAGGTTTTAAAAATAGAACACAATACTTAGAAGCCATAGAAAACTTGACAGATTGAAATTAAAATCAGATTTCTAAATGGTAAAAAAATGCAAAACCCAAAGACAACTGACAAACTTGAAAAAAGCATTTGTCACATGTCACAGACAAGGGACTGATTTCCTGACTTATGAGTTCTTACAATCTTTTCATATGAAAAGATTTTCAATCTTATTCCTAATAAAGCAATGCAAATTAAAACCACAGTGCACAATTATTCACCACTTAAATTGTCAAAGATCTAAAAGTTTCATAAACCTTTGTTGTCAAGCTGTGAAGAAACAGGTACTCTCACACTGTTGGTGGGAGTGTTAAATTAGTATAAGGTACTTAGAGAACAATTTGGCATTGAGATTGTTAAATGTATGTATTCTTTGACCCAGCAATTCCATTCCCAGGAACTTATTCTACAGAATAATTTCACATGCAGCAACATTTGACAAGATCAAAGGACAGAAATAAGTGAAATAGATAAATAATAGATTAAGTAAAACAATTATAGTGCATCCGTGATGTAGTGCTATGCAGCCATTATTAAAAAGAATGAGGATGAGCTGTACGTAGTAGCGCATACTTATAAACCCAGTGACTCTGGAGGCCGAGGCAGGAAGATCACAAGTTTGAGGCTAGCCTCAGCAATTTAGTGAAGCTCTCAGCAACATAGAGAGGCTGTGTCTCAAAGTCAAAAATAAAAATAGTTGGGAATGTAACTCAGAGGTAAAGTGCCCCTGGATTCACTCAACAGAACCCCCCCCAAAATGAGGATTTTTCTCTATTATATAAAACAATCTTCAACCTCTGTTGTTAAATGAGTAAAGTACATTAAGATGAGAATAGTGTTACCATTTTTGTAAAAAAAAAAAGGAGGAAGAAAAGTATATAAATACATATTCATCTGTATATTCATAAAATTCCCAGAAGGATGCACAAGAAACTGACAATATTGATATCTTCCAGGGAGAGCTACTGTGTACCTAAAGGATCAAGGTAGATGAGAGAAAAACCTCTCATCTGCCTGTGTCCTAGCATATCATTCTAAATGTAATCATCACAAGATGGATGAATATTTTTGAAGACTTCAATACATATTTCAACTACTTTTTGATAACTTGAAGTTTAACCATTAAATCAAGTTAAATGCCATCACAAGGGAGGAAGCAGACAAATCTAAGAGGGACATTCCTTCCACAGAACAAAACAGACTGATCCCTTTTATAAGTCAGTGTCATTAAAACATATAGGAAAGGGACCATGTTTGATTAAAAAGAACCATAAGAATAACAACCACATGCGATCTGTAGTCCTAGATTGGGGAATGCTGACTATGAACTGGGTAATAGATGCGACAAAGATGTACTGACATGGGAAAATAGAGTTGTTGAAAGAAAATGTCTGCTTACAAAATAACATGCGTACTTTGATTTTATTTTTATAAAAAATGCATGTGGACTCTCATTCATTGCTTATGGAAATGCAAAATGGTACAGCTAGTTTGGAAGACAGTTTGGACATTTCTTACAAAAGTGGACATACTTTATCATACAAGCCAGCAATTGGGTTCATTGGTATTTACCTAAATGAGCTGGAAACTCATGTGTATGCAAAAACCTGCACATGAATGTTTATAGCAGCTTGATTCATATTTGCCAAAACTTGAAAGTAATCATCATGTCCTTCAGTGGGTGAACAGATAAACTGGTACTCCGAGACAATGAAGTATTTTGGGGTAATATAAAGAAATGAGCTATTAAACATGAAAAGACATGGAGGAAACATAAATGCACATTATTAAGTGAAAGAAGCCAATCTTAAAAGGCTATATACTGTATAATTCCAAGTATATGACATTCTGGAAAAGGCAAAACCATGGAGAAAGTTAAAAGATCAGTGGTTGCCAAGGGTTAGTGGGGAGGGACAGATGAACAGGAGAAGCATAGAGGATTTTGGTGGCAGTGAAACTGTTCTGTATGCTATAATGGTAGATACACATCATTATACACGTTTCTAAACCCATAGAATGTTTAATACCAAGAGTGAACCTTAAAGTAAACTCTGGACTTTGGGTGACAATGATGTGTCAATGTACATATAATGATTGTAACAAATGTACCACCCTGGTACATTATGTCAACAGTGGCTAGAGTTGGGGAAAAGGCAGTTGATACATGAGAATTCCCTATATTTCTGCTTAATTTTGCTGTGAATCTGAAACTCTTTTAAAAAATAAAGTCCAAGCCAGGCACAGTGGTGAATGCCTATAATCCCAGTGACTTGGAAGGCTGAGGCAGCATGATTGAAAGTTTGAAGCCAGCCTGGGCAACTTAGCAAAACCCTGTCTCAAAATAAAAGTAAAAAAGGGCTGAGGGCATAGTTCAGTGCTAGAGCACTTGCCTAGCATATGCAAGGCAATGGGTTCAATCCTCTAAAAAATAATAATTAAAATAAAAATACATTTTAAAAATAAAATATAAATCCACGAAAAATGCATGTGTGCATGAACATGTATAGAAAAACCCTAGAATATATGTTTAAATAACAGCAGTGGGCTGGGGATATAGCTCAGTTGGTGGAGTGCTTTCCTGGCATGCATAAGGCTCTGGGTCCAATCCCCAGCACCACAAAAAAAAAAAAAAGATAACAGGAGTGATAATTTTCTAGATATTATTTTTTTTAATTTTGCCTATCCACATTTTCTAAAGCTCTACCATGAATATTAGTGCTTTTATACCATAAAAGTTTTAATTTTTTGTTGTTGTAGATGGACACAGTACCTTTATTTTATTTACTTATTTATTTATTTTTAACGTGGTGCTGAGGATTAAACCCAATGCCTCACATATGCTAGGCTAGTACTCTACCACTGAGCCACAACCCCAGCCTCCCCCCATAAAAATTTTTAAAATTTATTTTTTAATTTATTTTAGACTTATTTTTAAATCTTAGGTGGACACAATATCTTCATTTTATGTGGTGCTGAGGATCAAACCCAGTGCCTCGTGCTTGCTAGTTGAGCACTCTAACACTGAGCCACAACCCCAGCCCCGCCATAAGTTTTTTTTTAAAAGAAAAATGAAAACAAATCACGGAATAGCTTACTACTGAATTAGGAAAGTGTGGTGTGTAAAACATACAAATGAGGGCTGGGGATATAGCTCAGTTGGTAGAGTGCTTGCCTAGCATGCACAAAGTCCTGGGTTCAATCCCCAGCACCACATACACACACACCTCCCCCCAAAAAAAAATACAAATGAGAGACTCACTAAAGGACAAAAGGTGCAATGTCAGAAAAAAAAAATGGAACACATTCGAAGATGAGAGTAAATGCCTAAAAAGAAAAGAGCTTACAGGAAAAGAAATTCCAGATATTTGTTATGATTAAACATTGTGTTTCCTTGCTAGGAAGTATGCTGAAATAAAGAATAAAAAAACAGGACTAGACACCAATGGTCAGGGAAAAGACAAATATAAGAACACCATTTCTTACATATATTTGGCAGGATGTTGCCTCAAAACACTACTGGCAACACTTCTTAGAGAAAAAGGCAAAATCTGGATGTCAACAGCAAACACCCAGCACCTAGACCAGGAGGGGTCTTTAAAATCTCCTCAAACTGAGTTGGAGGTAGTGGTGCAAGCCTGTAATCTCAGACACGGGAGAAGTTGAGGCAGGAAGATCAGGCAATTTAATGAGTCCTTGTCTCAAAAAGGGCTGGGGGTGTACACACAAATTGGAACCTTCAAGTTGGCTAAATCTGTTTTCAAACCACACTCTTGGAGGGTCCCACCTGGTACTGCATTTGTTGTATCTTCTACCAGAACACTCTCCCTCACACTAGATTAGGTAAGGAGAGGTCAGAAATTAATTCTTTTGGGCTTGGGATATGGCTCACGTGTGGCTCAGTGCTCAAAGCACCCCTGAGTTCAATCCCTGGTCCAAAATAATAATAGTAATAATAATAATAATAATTCTTTTGACTTGATTGCTCACCCTCCCCTCAAAAATTCTTTTCGAGTCAGTTTACAATTAAGAGAACAAGGCTGCAGGGAGGTGGTACATGCCTGCAATCCCAGTGACTTAGGAGGCTGAGACAGGTGGATCACGGGTTCAAAGCCAGCCTCAGCAATTTAGTGAGGCACTAAGCAATGCAGTGAGACCCTGTCTCTAAATAAAATACAAAATAGAGCTGGGGATGTGGCTCAGTGTTTGAGAACCCCTGAGTTCAAGCTCCAGTACTGAGGGGGTGGGGGGATAAGGAGAAGGAAAGGAAGAAACCAAGAAATTACAGATGGCAACATTCCTGTAATCCCAGCAGTTCAGGAGGGTGAGGCAGGAGGCTCATAAATTCAAAGCTAGCCTCAGAAACTTATTGAAGCCCTAAGCAACTCAGGGACACGTTGTCACTATTTTTTAAATTATTAAAAATAAAAAATGTGACTCAGTAATCAATTGCCCCTGGATTCAATCCCTGTTGAGGAGGAGGAGGAAGAGGAGGAGGAGGAGGAGGAGGAGGAGGAGAAAGAAAAGGAAAGAAAAGGAATAGAAAAACAACATTGTTGGGGATTGGGGATATCACAGAAGAGGAATTGTGCCAGAAATCCCTGGCTAAAGAAAACTAATAATGATAACAGTTACCATTTAATGAAAGCTTACTATGTATCATTGTAAGTGTTCTCTGTACATTCTCTCATTTTATTCTTATCAGTCTCTAGAGTTAAACAATATTATCTTGGTGTTTGCTGAGCCCAAAGTGGATCAGGAAGAATTAGGGAGACAGAAGCGTGAAACCATAGGAGTGAGGTGTGACCGAAACAATAGGGATGTATCTACAAAGACCACAATGAGTGTGTTGTCCAGAAAGGGAGATGGTATAAGGGGAACTAGGGGGTGGAGGGAGGAGGAAGGTTTCAGACGGTGAGAGGCAGAAGAAAGATGGGGGAGGGGGGCTACTGCAGGAAAAGAGGAACTAAACAGAGGTGAGGAGCAGCCAATGGCGGGGGCGGAGCAGGGTGGAGGATTGAGAGCGAGATGGAAAAGCACAGGGGAAGGAACTAAAGAGCCCAGAGAAGGGAGGATGAGAGGAGCGAAAGGAAGGGGAAGAGGATGAACCCTACAGGGAATTGAAAAGAAAAAGGGAACCAAAAGGGAGCCAGAAAACCAGCTGAGGACAGGGAGAAACAGCATAGGGCGGGGAAGGGGGCAAGATGAAGGGGAGGAGCTAAGAGGGAGTTGGCTGAAGGAAAGGAAGGAGTGGGGTGGGAGGGTAAGAGTCAAGATAGAGAAGAGGCGGAGCCCAGCGGGAGGGGAGGAGCCTAGAGGGGTGGATCGGTAAGGGAGGAGGAAGGGAAGGAGCTGAGAGTGAGGGAATTGAATCCACAGAATGAGAAGGGAGGAGCTGTGAGGGACTCCGAGATGCCAAAAGGGAGGGAAAGGAGATCAAAGAAAAGGAGATCCAGATTCGCTAAGTGGGAGGGTCAGAGATTAAGATACCCTGAGACACACCCACCGAGAGAGCGCTGGCTTTCCTGATCCCGGGCCATGAGCTCTCAACCCTGGTCTGCCCTCCATTCCCCTACCCGAAACCTTCCCCTCGCATATCTCGAATATCGCTCCTTCCCTCTTGACCTCACCTTGCAGGATGCGGTCTCTAGGTCAGTCTCTGCAGAAGTTGACTAGGGGCAGTCCGGCAAGGTAGAAAGCTGTGCAGCAGCAACTCGAAGTCCCAGAAACGGCCGCAGCCCCAGTAGCCACCTCAGCCGGGAGAGGGCGGACCAGGGGTGGGTTCCCACGCGGAACCACGAGTATTGATTTCAGGGGCCGGTCCAAGTGCTCAGGGACCAGCACCCTGAACCAGATCAGAACCAGTTAGAAGGGAGGAGCAGAAATGATAAGAGCTGTAGACAGGAAAGAGCCAAGACAGACTGGTGGGACCACAACTCCTGGGAAGAACGCATACACAAGAGTAGACACTGGTTTAAAATCCGGTTGCCAGGGTGTGTGGCGGGGAGTTGTGAGCACGCAGAGTGCGCATGCGTGGGGATCCCCACTGCGCCTGACACCCCCCCCCATCTCCCCACTTCACGCCTGACATTTTCCCACGGTTCTGGCAATCCTTCATGCGGTATCTCACAACCTTGCTGGGCTCAGGGGAGCGGGGACGGTAGAAAGGGAAACGAAGAGGTCTCAACATCACAGAGTCTGGCCTTTTCTAAAGGTTCCCACTCTGTCTCAAACTAGCAGTGTTACCGCGCCCACCCGCATCTTCATTTCTGCCTACAGGGAATGGGGGTTGTGGGAGGGAATTCCAAGGTCAAGCGGTCCAAATCCGGGGGCTATTAAGCAGTTGAAATGCAGCCACTCCGAATTTTATGGTCTACAAGTTCAAATGAACACCGGGTTTGGAAGAAAAAAAAAATGTCGAAATTCCCAGTAATTTTTATAATATTAGCACAGAAATGATAATGTTTTAAGTTTTTTAAAAACGTTATTAGTAATATTACCTGTTTTTTAATGCAGCTACTAGAAAATTTAAAATCACACGTATGGCTTACATTGTATTTCTATTGGACAGCGCTGGATTGGGGAAGGAAGGAAAATAGAAGTAAAAGGGAGGAGGCGGATGGGGTCTGTTCTACGGTATTGGAAGAAGTCTTTCTCAGCAGCGGGAATCTTATTTTGCCACCTCTGTAAGAATCCATGTCGCCCTTACCTTCTGCTCTTTGTCTTATAAGGCCAAGTGCTTGGGTTTGGACCAAGAGGTATCATAGGACAAAGATAGTAGAAAAGCTTAATTATTTTCCCTCCTTGTGCTTCAAGAGCTCTGGAGAACAAGAGGTCATTTGTTTAGGCTGAGACGTGTGCGCCTCGCCAAGTGCCTTTCTGTCCAAGTTCCTTTCTCAAGAGGTCTGCTTCTTCTGGTGATTGGCAGGAGGCGATTCAAGACAGAACAAAGGCAGCGAGCGAGCCCTTAGCTGAGGCGTGTAGAAATTTAGAGAGTTAACTCTTGGACTAGCCGCATAGGAATACTTGTACGAGAAATGAAAGAGAATGTACGAACAATCAGAAATAGGGGAGTTGTGAGAATGAAAAGATTGAACTTGACTAAGAGAATTGGACTATCCCATGTAAAGATTCAGGGTCAGAATAGCAGGATTAGAAGGGCACCGCCTTTGTGAAAAGGAACGGGAAAAGGGAGAATAAAGCTTGAGATGGGTAACGGTTGGAAGTAACCAGAGCTTGAATAACAATCTTGCGTTTCACTGCTGCATAACCGCTGCTCCGTGTTCTGCTTTTGAATGAAAAAGTGTATAATATTAAAATAAAAGGAAGGCTCTGCCAGCCTCCCAGGCCTGGGCTGCTGGGACCAAGTAAGTACACCTACAGGTGACTGTAGGGACTGCATTTTATAGTATTTCAACCACTTTTACAAGAGTAAGCCCTCCTAGTGTCACCCGTGTGTCACTGTGTAATTATCACCAGCTCCAGCCACTTACTGAGCACCAAGCTGAGCTAGGAGAAGAAACTGAGACTGTGGGCACTATTCACATAAATGATGCCACTATAGGCTACTCAGCTGATGTGGAAAACAAGAACCACCTTTTAAAAGTGTGGTGGTCCATGATACCATATTCTGTGTGTAGTGGGGGTCTCTAGGCATTTGTCAATCAGGTCTGTCCAAACCATCTTCATGTTCTGCCTGTTCAACCCACAGCAAGATGCTTAAGCCCCAAGACAGCCTTGTGCAAATCATCCACTTACCCTGTGAGACTTGCTAGGACAGATATAGGCCTCCCTGACTCTGAGAAGCCCTATAAACCTTCTCATGTTGTGTGCAAATAACAGCAGTTTCATTTCCTTTCCAATCCATATGCCTTAGGTTTCTTTTTCTTGCATAGTTGCACTGAGTAGGTTTTCCAATGCAAGGTTGAATACAGGTAGGGAGAGTGGACTTCCTTGCCTTATTCCCCACAATCTTAAAGGGAAAATTCTTCCACCATTAAGTGTTATATGAACTGTGGGGTTTTTTGTAGCTATACCTTTATCACTTAAGGACATTCCTACTCTTCCTAGTTTGCTGGGAGTTTTAGGTATTGAATTTTACCATTTTTTTCATCTATTTGACATTATCATTTTTTTTTTCTTAAGACTGAACATGATGAATTACATTGATTTTCAAGTACACAATCAGCCTTGCATTTCCAGACTAAACCTTGCTTGGCTGGTTGTTGTGTAAAAAAAAACAACAACAAAACAAATGAGCAGGGCTGGGGTTGTAGCTTGGTGGTAGAGTGCTTGCCTCGAATGTATGAGGCACTGAGTTTGATTCTCAGCACTACATAAAAATAAATTTCAAAAAGTCCATCAACAACTAAAAAAATAAATATATTTTTTTAAATGAGCAACAATGTGGCATCAAAAAGATAAAGTTTTAGAGGGGCCGGGGATATAGCTCAACTGGTAGAGTGCTTGCCTTGCATGCACAAGGCCCTGGGTACAATCCCCAGTACCACCACCAAAACAAACAAACAAAAAAAAGATATAATTTTAATTCATTTATCAATGTAGACTATTTCCCAAAGTCCAGAGAGATATAAGTTGTCCCTCCTGTGCCATGAGGGGTATTTTGATGGGAGAATAGAAAACATTGTATTCATTTTATTTGTTTACTTATCTCCCTCCTTCCTCTGGAAATAAGCTTCTTGAGCACAGGGTCCATTTCTTCCTTGTTTTCATGTTCCTAGTGAAGACCCAGGAGCTTAGTGAGAACATTAAATAGAGATTCAGAATAGATTGTTAAAATGAACAAATGAATGGATACCATGTAACTTACACCATCATAAACATTTTCATGTATTTTGCCACATTTAGACATCAAAAGAGAACCACGCAGTGTTTTATACCCAGGATACTAGCTACTCCAGAGGCTGAGCCAACTTTAGCAACTTATGAAGTCCCTATCTCAAAATAAAATAAAAAGGTCTGGCATTGTTGCTCAGTGGTAGAGCACCCATGGGTTCAATCCCCGGTTCAGTCCCCAGTACCAAAATCACAAGAAGATATGGTCAAAAGACCAAAGTAAATGTAAATAACATGGGTAATGCCCACTCCCTCTTTTGATGTAACCATAGAGTTTGCAAAGTTCTTTCTCATCCATTGTTTCATATGATCCTTCCAGTGAAGCAGGTTAGTTACTGTTCTATCCATTTGGAAGAAGGGTATTGGGGATTGCACCCAGGAGCATTTTACTACTGAGCTACAATCTCAATTCTTTTTTTTTTTTTAGTTGTCAATGAAACTTTTATTTTTATTTATTTGTATGCAGTGCTGAGAATTGAACCCAGTGCCTCACACATGCTAGGCAAGCACTCTACCACTGAGCCAAAATCCCAGCCCCCAACCTCAGTTCTTTTTATTTTTTTAACTTTGAAACAGGGTTGTTTCTCACTAAGTTGCTGAAGCTGACCTGGAACTTGCAATCCTCCTGCCTCAACCCTCTGAATCACTGGAATTACAAGTGTGTGCCACTATGCCCAGCATAATCTCTCCATTTTATGTGAAGCAACTGAGGCCAAGAAAACAGAACCTAATTTGCCTGTCTTAGATCATATAATTAATAGGAAGATATTGACAGTAAAAGCAAGTGTAGTATTTTGTAAAATAAAAAAGACAAACTTTTTTTATATATCTCTAATTTGTCACTTATCACTGTGTTTTATAATTTTGTCTGCCTCCCCATTAGTCAGTCTTAACTCTGGATCTCCTTTTTTTCCATACCTTCTACTTTAATAGAGCAAAGCAGCTACTGAAATAGCTTGATTTCACATATTCAACATTTAGAGAGGTATGTATTCCATCTGGGTAATTAATCCTGCCATTTATATACTCTGATATGGTGAGAGAAAAGTTTTATATTTTCCCTTAGAGTGTAAATTTTGGACTGTGAGTCAACTTTTTATGGAAAGAGTATACACATTTATTACAGGTTTATAAATACCAAAATTTTCAAAAGGATAATCAAACTGTTAACAAAATACAAAATCCTAATTATGTACAACAATCTTGTTCTAAGTCAGCAGTCTTTTGTCCTTTCTTGTCTTTCAAATTTAACCTTGATCATAAGATTTTCTCTTCTAAAACCTATCTACATTTATCTTGGTGTCTAAGCCTATAGCTGTGCCATTTTATCTTAGTCTCCAGGTCCCTGATGTCCTGTCCTTCACACTGTTAATAGACAGGGCTGGGGCTGTAGCTCAGTGGCTGAATGCTTGTCTAGCATGTGTGAGGCACTGGGGTTTGATCCTTAGCACTATACACAAATAAAATAAAAGCATCTGTCCAGCTACAACTACAAAAAGATTTTTTTAAAAAAAGACAGGTTTTTTTTTCTTTTTAAAATTATTTTTTTAATTTATACATGACAGTAGAATGTATTTTGACATAGCATACATACATGGAATATAACTGCTCATTCTTGTGGTTGTACCTGATGGGGAGTTACACTGGTCGTGTACTTATTTATGAACATAGGAAAGTTATGTCCAATTCATTCTACTGCATTTCATATTCCCATCCCATCCCATCCCCACTTCCTTCCCCCATCCCCCACCTCCTCTTCAATCTGGTCATGCACTCCTCCCCCTCCTCCACACCCTGCTGTATATTGTGAGTCAGCATCTGTCTATCAGAGAGAACATTCAGTCGTTGTTTTTGGGGGGATTGGCTTATTTCACTTAATATAATAGTCTCCAGTTCCATCCATCTACCAGCAAATGCCACAGTTTCATTTTTCATGGCTGAGTAATAGTCCATTGTGTATATGTACCACAGTTTCTTTATCCATTCATCTATTCAAGGGCACCTAGGTTGGTTCCAAAGCTTAGCTATTGTGAATTGAGCTGCTGTGACATTGATGTGGCTGCATCACTGTAGTATACTGATTTTAAGTCCTTTGGGTATAGACTAAGGAGTAGGATAGCTGGGCCAAATGGTGGTTCCATTCCAAGTTTT